GCATGTGTAAGGTTCACCTGGGAAGCTCGTTGAAACAGATTAAAGGACTCTGTATCAACTTTCTGAATCAGTAAGGTAGGTGGGATATGAGAATATACATTTCTAACAAGTTCCCAGGTCATGCCAATAGTTCTATTTGGGACCATACCTTGAAAATTACTGCTTTAACCCTTTTTAAGTGTATCATTTGAATTTCAGTAAATGTATAAAATTGTATACCAGCACCACAATCCGGTTTTAGAACAATTCCATCATACTAAAGAGTTCCTCATGCACATTTGCAGTCAATCCCAACATTCACCTTCAGCCTGAGGCAACTAGTTATCTTTCTTTCGCTATGGTTTTGCACTTTTCAGAAATTTTATATAAATGGAATCATATGATACACAGTTATATACTTGGAATCTTTCACTTAACATAGTATTTTTGAGATTCATCTATGTCATTGCATGTATCAGTACCTTTCTTTTATTGCTAAGTATTATTTCATAGAATGAGCATACTACATTTTTTTGTCCATTCAACATTTTATGGATATTTGGATTGTTTCTAGTTTTGGCTATTATGAAAAATGCTATTATGACTATTCATGTACAAGAGATGGCCTATGCTTTTGATTAAAAGGAAGTTATAATATATAGATGATATTCATATATTATGCTATGCTTGTAGTTGACAAAAAATGTTAATATGTTCTTGTTTCCTAATATATTTCCAATAATAATATTTTAATATTTACTATGAATATTTTATGTTCTTGTAATGAACTAATATTTGATAATTTTATGTCAAAATATTATAAATTGGTATATGATAGTCTATAAAAATTTTGTAAAATGTTTCTTTTGAGATAACCAATGTACTCTATAGATGTTAATCTTACAAAATTAATGTACCTACTCTTATTGGTGGGCAAAATTCACCCTGAGCACCTGGAATAAAATAAGTATAAAACAAATAAAACTTAGCTTTTGATTTTGGAAATGTTCCGGTACAGATAACAATAGGGAGAATTGTTTAACGAAATCCTCATGTATCCATCTCACCTAATTTCAACAATTGTTAATAGGTTGACATTCTTTTTTAATCTGTACCTTGCCTCCCAATCTATTTCTGGTATTCTATATTGAATCTCAAAGTCATATCATTTCTTCTGGAAATACTTCACTATATATTGCAAACTGACTAGGACTTACAAAACAAGTATGTATGTAAATTTTTACAGCACCATTATTTCACCTAACAAAATTAGCAATAATTTTTAATATAATCTACTACACAGTATATGTTTAGTTGTCCCTAATTGTCTGAAATATATTTTTCAAATTGTTTGATTGAACTAGGACAAAACAAGATGCAAACATTGCAATTGACTGATAACACCATTAAGTCAATCTTAATCTCTAATTATTTCTCTTCCCTTGTTTTTCCATGACAATGATTTGTTGAAGAAACTGGTTAATTTGTTGAAGAACTGGTAGGATTTCTTATGATCTATATTTACCTGACTGTATCTTCTTCATATCATTTAGTATATCCTTTATCCCGTGTAGTACTAATGAAGTATAAGTACAAAGGATTTAGATATAGAGGATTGAGTATATTCAAGTTTTGGCATTGTTTTTTTCCTAGTAGCAAGAATATGTCTTAGGAAGACTTGTCTATTTCCTGTAACATCATAGTATGTCTGTCACTCCCACTTTTACTGATGCTGTGATTCATGATTTGACTCAGGTGTTGTCAGCCTGATCCTTTCATTAACAAGTTTCGCTCCAATCTTTTACCAAATGGTTTTAGCAGCTATTGATGAATATTCCCTAGATTTCCTCTATGTCAGTAGAATTGCAAAATGGTTATCTTCTAATTCCGTCATTTCTTCTGCAATCCTTATGTAAAATTTACTTATGAAGAATGTTCTTTCATCAACTCTTGGTTACCCTGAAATTCAACTTTTACAGACAAGGAAGGATAAATGCTTGCTTCTTTCTTTTTATTCAGTTTATTGGTTTTCAAAATAATGAGTTGGTGCACTAGGAAACTCTAAATGTGATTGAGTTTTAAAGTATCATTATGAACTCATGGAGCTTATTTATTCGATGTGTTTAATCCATTTTGGTCATTGTTTTTAGTGGTCACATTGTTTTATTTTTGACTGGTGAACCTCTAAGATTTACTCCTTTGTCCTTTGATTTATGCTAGTATTTTAAAAACTACTTTATTGCTTTTCTGCTACTTTATTGCTCAAGATTTCCCAGGCTCAGATTATACATTCTGTACTCCAGATGTTATTTCTTTGAGGAGAACTAATTAGTGGGAAATGAAATTTATAGACCATAATCTAAGTGATAGGAAGCTTACTCTTTCTGGGTTGTTACTGCTCCTAGATCTTTAAAAATGTCTTTCACAAAGGTACTGGATTTAACACATTTTTCAGTATATGTTCATGTTTTTATCTCTAGGATTGTATCTCTCTCTCTATATATATACACACATGCATATATATATGCATATATATATATGTTTTTTTTTTTTTTTTTGAGATGAAGTCTCGCTCTTGTTCCCCAGGCCGGAGTGCAGTGGCGTGATCTCAGCTCACTGCAACCTCCGCCTGCCGGGTTCAAGCAATTCTCCTGCCTCAGCCTCCTGAGTAGCTGGGATTACAGGCGCCTGCTACCATGCCTGGTTAATTTTTGTATTTTTAGTAGAGATGGGATTTCACCATGTTGGACAGGCTGGTCTCAAACTCCTGACCTCAGGTGATCTACCTGGCTTGGCCTCCCAAAGTGCTGGGATTACAGATGGGAGCCACTGCACCTGGCCAGATTGTATATATTTTTGGTATAAGGAAAACAGTATTAACACAATTCAGTTAAGTTTAGCATTCCTTTGATGAGGATATATTTTTTCCCAGACATTATGTATGGTAGGCACTAGTATTCGATGCAATTGTGGTAGTTGCTTTCTGGAAAGCAATGAGACTTACTGTTGGCATCTATGGGATGATATGTAAGAAAATAAATTTTAATTTAATAAATGAAACAATAAATGGAGAAAATACAGACACAGCACAAAGGTGTTCAAGGAATGCTTCACATTCCCAAGAAAGGTAACATCTGTGCTGGGTATTAAAGGAAGGCTATGGTAACTGTTGCATTGGGTATACAAAAGATTCAGGAAAGGGACTTTCAGACAGAAGAAAAAGCATATGAAAAGATACAGAACAAGGATCAGGACTGACAGTTTGGTGCTATTTGTGTCACCAAGATCAAAGTGGAAAAGGACAACAGATGAGGCAAAATCAGCAAAATCTCATATGCCAGGGTAAAGAGCCTAGGCTTATTCTAGAGGCAAATGGGAAATACTGAAGAATGTTAAACAGAAATATGAAATGATCTAATTTTCTCCTCAGAATAATCATTCTGGTAACAGTGAGGAAAATGGATTGGGAGAGGAAATGGCAAATGTGTAAGTTCACTTTTGACTTTACAAACTCGTGCCTAGAATAGTGCTTGGCAGATAGCAGGCACTTAATATTTGTTGAGTGAAAAAACAAAAAGTTGTTATATGAATCAAAAGAAGTAGATAAGTCTGAAGAAAAACCACACGGAAATAGAGACTATTTTTTTTGTTGCTATTACTTGATTTATCTGCTGGCTTATTTGGTATCTTACCACAAGATTTTCATGAGCAAATCAGCAAGTAAAATAACAGAATAAAAAAAAAATAGTCGAAGGGTTTGAATAGCAGTCTCACAAAAGAGGAAGTCTGAAGGGTAATTAGATATATGAAAACATGCGCAATTTCACTAGCAATAACGAAGGAAATGCAAATATCTTTTAAATCCCATGAGATGGAAGAATAGTTAAGAGTTTAAACAAAACCCAGTCTTCACCAGGATGTTGAATTGTTGGAATTCTCACATGCTGCTGGTGAGAGTGTAAGTTGGTGAAATCATTATAGAAAGTGGTTTGGCCGTCAGTGGTCATTAAATCAGAAGATGCACATCTCTTTTTTTTTTTTTTTTTTTCCCTGGTAATCCATTCTACCTCCTGCTATGATTCCCATTCACCCCTTTTTTTTTTTTTTTTTTTGAGACGGTGTCCTGTCGCCCAGGCTGGAGTGCAGTGGCGCCATCTCGGCTCACTGCAAGCTCCGCCTCTCCGGTTCATGCCATTCTCCTGCCTCAGACTCCCAAGTAGCTGGGACTACAGGCGCCCGCCACCACGCTCAGATAATTTTTTCGTATTTTTAGTAGAGACGGGGTTTCACCGTGTTAGCCAGGATGGTCTCGATTTCCTGACCTCGTGATCCCCCTGCCTCGGCCTCCCAAAGTGCTGGAATTACAGGCGTGAGCCACCGCGCCCGGCCAGATGCACATCTCTTTTGACTCAGTATTTCCACTCAGATATAAACCCTAGAGAAATGCTCATACCTATACAGAAACATGTTCAACAATGTTGATCACAGCATTGTTGATTAAACAAAAAACTTTGAAATAATATAAATGTCTTTCTGCAGGAGAATGGATAAATTGTGATATATTTGTACACCACATACTATTCAGCACTGAAAATGAACAAATTAGAGCTATGTAAATAAAACATGAGAAAAGTTTACAAAGTGATATAGTATTACGTTACATATATAAAGTTAATTATGCAAAATAATATTACATATATGTAATAATAGATCAAAATTCCAAATTTAAGAGGCTAGTTATCTCTGAGAAAGGAAAGCAGGAGGGAAATGGGATTAGCAGAGGTTACACAGGAAGCTTCACCCTTTCTTTAAAAGAAAAAGTCATAAACAGATATAGAAAAATAAAAATTTTATAAAGTTAGATAATGGTCAAAAAAGTATTTGTTATTTTTGTTTTTATCTATTTGAAATGTTTTCAGTGAAAAATCCTTTGAGCTTAGAGAATTCCAGAATTATCCTTATTCTCAAAGTAAAATATTTTCCTAGCATCTAAATAATTTTAAGAGTTTTTTATTTTGCAGATTTGACTGATGAATTAGCTCAGAAGCTATTTGATGTTTCAGAAATAACTTCGGCAGCAATGGTTTGTTCGTTGCCTACAGCAGTTCCAGAATCTCCTAGAATTCATCCTACAAGAACACCCAAAACACCTCGAACACCTAGGTTACAAGATCCTAACAAAACACCAAGATTTTATCCTGTTGTTAAAGAACCAAAAGCCATTGATGTAAAGGTATACAAAACAACCAGGAATATAAGGCTTGCATTTTGTATCCTTTAACATTACAGAATGAGACGTTGTAATTTCTATAACATCACATTAAAAAGTGTGTGTTATAACTTGTAATATTTCACTTAAAAATCGTACTTTACCATAGTGATAGTTTCTCAGGTTAAGAAATTTTTTGGTTGGGCATGGTGGTTCATGCCTGTAATCCAACACTTTGGGAGACCAAGGCAGGTGGATCGCTTGTGCCCAGGAGTTGGAGACTAGCCTGGGCAATGCCGTGGGACCCCATCTCTAAAAAAATACAAAAATTAGCTGGGCATGGTGGCATGTGCCTGTAGTCCCAGCTACTTCGGAGGCTGAGGTGGGAGGATTGTTTGAGCCTGTAGGGGTCAGGGCTGCAGGGAGCCATGATCATGCCACTACACTCCAGCCTTGGCAACAGAGTAAGACCCCATTTAAAAGTAAACAAACAAACAAAAACCTTTTTTACCATTGGATACTGTAATTAAAGACAAACAGAAAGTATAATGAAGAATCACACTAAGCTGCACTTCATTTTATCCTTGTGTCACAAACCTACCAAAGGACCTTATTAAGTTTTGTAACTTGTGTGTGAGATTTTTGAGTTTTGTGACTTCATATGATTTCACAATGTGTTATCTACAGTATGAAAATGTTTGAGTTCATTTATAGTCAGAGGGTTTTAATTTACTTGTGAAGTTCACACTATTGAAACTAATTGCAATGCTTGACTTTATTTTCTTTAGAGTCCAAGAAAGAGAAAAACAAGGCATAGCACAAATCCCCCTCTAGAGTGTCATGTTGGTTGGGTAATGGATTCCAGAGACCATGGGCCAAGAACATCCTCTGTCAGGTACTATATTTCTCAAACATTACTTTTTTGTTCTTGATTTGAAGTTTTTTGAAAACAGTTACTAATTAGATATTTCAAAATATTTAAAAATTAATATGTTAGCAAGTTACAGAACAATGAAAATGGTACAAAGAAGCCAAAGAAGAGATAAGTTTTACAAGTATGTTAAGGAAATAATCCAGTAAGACAGTTTTTTTTCCCATTTAAATTATTTTTCACAAATGTGAACTCTTAGATTTATAAACTATGTAGGTCTATGAAAGTTATTATCTTTGGAAAAATCCCAGAGTCTTAGTGGCATTTAATAGGTTCTTAGTAGATACTTGTTGAGGGCATTAATGTGCTAAACACACTACTCAAACTATATAAATACTATGGAAACAAAGCATTATTATTTTGCTTTTTTCCCCCATTTTTGGTAAATCATTTAGATTAGTTGATTTTTAGCAGAAATTTTTTTTTATAAGAAAGAAGAAAATTAATTAAAAAAAAAAGAGGACTAGAGCAAATCTTTTAGAGTGCCAGTGATATGCAAAGCACTGTGGTATGTTTTGTCCTTCAGAGGGGTTGCAGAGGTGATTTATTGCTCATTGCTTTGTGATTCTTTCTTTTAAATAAAAATAGAGACAGAATGTTGCCCTGTTGCCTAGGACAGTCTTAAACTTCTGGCCTCAAGCAATCCTCCTACCTCAACCTCTAAAGTGCTGGGATTTTTTTTATTTTTATTTTTTGAGACAAAGTCTCGCTCTGTCACCCAGGCTGGAGTGCAGTGGCACAATCTTGGCTCACTGCAAGCTCCGCCTCCTGGGTTCAAGCAATTCTCCTGCCTCAGCCTCCCGAGTAGCTGGGACTACAGGTGTGTGCCACCACGCCTGGCTAATTTTTTGTATTTTTAGTAGAGACGGGGTTATGTTAGCCAGGATGGTCTTGATCTCCTGACCTGGTGATCCACCCGCCTCAGGCTCCCAAAGTGCTGGGATTACAGGCGTGAGCCACCACGCCCAGCTAAAGTGCTGGGATTATAGGCATGAGCCACCTCACCCAGCCTGTGTTTCTTAAACACCATTTTGTGTTTATACTAGATATTTTCAGAATAATTAATGGATAGTTTTTCCAATAGAAAACTTTGGGAAAATATGTTTTTGACTGATTACTAGAAAAGGATTAGTTAGTTTCATGAAAAGAAATGCTAGGGAGTTTATCATGCTCTCAAAACCTTGAAATCTGTCTATTTAGTGATACACATTTGATTATTTTACATTGTTCTTACTAGATATATTGTCTCTAAAAGATAAAAAGTGCGTATGTTCTTCTGCACACCTGTGGTATACTAATAGTTATTCTGGGGTTATAAGTGACTTTTCAGTTTTTTTCCCCAGAGTATTTGTTTTTATTGGAGCAGTATATTTAGAGATCAACAACAGTGAAAAATGTTTAATTTACCTAATGAAGGACATCTTGTCTTTGTTGCTTCCAAGTTTTGGGAATTATGAATAAAGCTGCTATAAACATCTATGTAAAGGTTTTAGTGTGGACATATCTTAAAATCCCTTGGATAAATACTAAGGAGCATGATTGCTGGATTGTATGATAAGAATATGTTTAGTTTTGTAAGAAGCTGCCAACCTGTTTTCCAAAGTGGCCCTATCATTTTGCATACTCACCAGTAATGTTTCTTTTTAACCTTGGTAATGTCTTGTTTTGAAGTCAGCCTTGTCTGATATTTGTATAATTATGCGAGCTTTCTTTAGATGAGTGTTTGCCAATGTATCTTTTTCTACCTTTTTACTTTTAAGCAATCTCTTTGTTTTAAAGTGGTTTCACATAGGCAGCATATATTTGGGTCTTTCTTTGCTTTTTATAACCCAGTCTGATAAGGTGTTAATCAGTATGTTTAGACCATCCACATTTAGTGTAGTTACTGATGTGGTTGGATTTAAATCTATCATTTCTTTGTCTCATCTATTCTTTTTTTTTTCTTTCTTTTTTTTTTTTTTGAGACTGAGTCTCACTCTGTTGCCCAGTCTGGAGTGCAATGGCACGATCTTGGCTCACTTCAACCTCCAGCTCCCAGGTTCAGGTGATTCTCCTTCCTCAACCTCCTGAGTAGCTGGGATTACAGGTGCCTGCCACCACACCCAGCTAATTTTTGTATTTTTAGTAGAGATGGGGTTTCACCATGTTGGCCAGGCTGGTCTCGAACTTCTGACCTCAGGTGATCCACCTGTCTTGGCCTCCCAAAATGCTGGGATTATAGGCATGAGCCACTGTACCCAGCTGCCTCATCTATTCTTCATTCTTTTTTTGCTTTTTTTGCTTTCTTTTGGATTGAGTTTTTATAATGACCTTTTTTATCTCTACTATTGGCTGATTAGTTATATCTTTTTATTTTTTACTGATCTTCTAGGATTTACAGGTATACCTTGTTTTGCTGTGCTTCATAGATACTGTGTTTTTCACAAACTGAAGGTTTGTGGCAACCCTGTGTCGAGCAAGTTTATCAATGCCCTTTATCCAACAGATGTACTCACTTCATGTCTTCATGTCTCTGTGTCACCTTTTGGTAATTCTTGCAATATTTCAAACTTTATTATTATTATTATTATTATCTTTTTTTTTTTT